TTGCATTTCTCTTATGGCTCAGGATGTTCAACATTTAAAAAATATATCTAGTTGTATGTCTTTTCTGAGAATTGTCTTCTCAATTCATTGTAACATTTATTGGTTGGACTATTTGTTCTTTTCTCATTTAGGTTTTGAGTTCCCTATATATTCTGGATATTAATTCTTTGTCCAATGAATAGTTGGCCAAGATTTTTCTACCATTCTGTGAGCTGTTTCTTAATCATGGTAATTGTTTCTTCTGATGTGTAGAAACTTTTTGATTTGATGCTGTCCCATCTGTCAATTTTTGCACTAATTTACCAAGCAATTGGACTCCTATTCAAAAGACAATAATTCCCTGTACCTATATCTTCTAGAGCTTCCCCTCGGTTTTCCTGTGATGGTTTCAGTTTCAGAGCTTACATGCTGATCTTTAACCAGTTTGCAGTCGGCTTTTGTACAGCAAGTGAGACGGTGTCTAGCTTTAGTCTCCAGCATGTTGGTGACCAGTTTTACCAGCAATGATTATTGAAGGGGCTGTTATTATTTTTTCCAGAGGATTGTGTGGGAGGGGGTTGGTTGTGTGTGTGTGTATGTGTGTGCATGTGTGGTATGTTTGTTTTTGGTTTTTTTGCTCCTATCAAAAGCTAGATGACTGGAGCTGTGTGGTTTTATTTACAAGTCTTCTGTTTCTTCATGTCCACTTTTGCCACTACCATGCCGATATGTTACTATAGTTCTATAGTATAACTGGAAGTCTAGTATCATGATACCTCTAGCATTGTTCTTTTAGCTCAAGATTGTTTTTGCTATCTGGTGTCTTTTATGCTCTCTTACTAACTTTTGGATTGATTTTTCAATTTCTATGAAATAGAAAAGTGATCAAATCTGTAGAATGCGTTTGGTAGTATGGCCAGTGGGTGATACTAACTCTGCCAATCCAAGATATGAGAAGTTTTTCCTCCTTCTGACGTCTTCCTTGATTTCTCTTCGTCAAGGTTCGGTAGTTTCCACTGTAGAGGTCCGTTGCTTCTTTAGGGTGCACGCGGGCACTGTATGCTTTGTGGCTGTTGTGAATGGGGTCATTCTCTGGCTTCTTTCTCCCTGTGCTCATTATTGGTGTGCAGAGCAGCTGCTCACTTTGTGTGCTGCTTTCGTGTTGTGCTATGTTGTGAAGGTGTTTATCAGTTCTAGATGTTTGAAGGGGAAGCCCTGAGACCCTTTACATATAGGGTCATGCCATCTGCAAATAGGGATAATTTGACTTCTTCCTTCCCTATTTGAATCCATTTTGTTGTTTCCTCCTATTTTTTGTTCTGGCAAGAAATTCCAGTATAATATTAAATAAAAGTGGGAGAGTAGACATTCTTGTCTCATTCTTCACTTTAGAAGAAATGACCTCAGTTTTCCCACATTTAGTATGATATTGGCTATAGATCTTTCATATATGGGCCTTTTTGTACTAAGGTACATTCTACCTATTGCTAATTTCTTCAGAGCTGTTATCATAAGAGGATATTGAATTTCACCAAAGGCATTTTTCCTGCATCAATTGATATCACTAGTGATTTTTTTCTTTTGATGCTGCTACTGGGGCTTGAATACTGTCCCTTAATCTTTTTTGCTAAAGACTAGAGTTCTTCCAATTGAGCCATTCCAGCCTTCTGCTGGCTAATTGAAGATAAGAATCTCATGGGCTTTTCTGCCTGAACTGCCTTTGAATGGCAGTTCTCGGATCTCAGCCTCCTGAGCAGCTAGGATTACAAGTGTGAGCCACCGGTGTCTAGCAGCAATGTGATTCTTGTCTTTGAGGCCTGTACTATCTCACATACTTTGATTTTGGTTAAAACATCCTTGAATCCATGGAATGCAGACTACTTGATCCTCGTGTGTGATCTTTTTAATGTGTTGCTGCATTGGGTTTGCAAGAATTTAATTGAGGGCTGGGAAGGTGGCTCAGTGGTAGAGTGCTCACCTTGCATGCTTGAGGCCCTGGGTTGGATTCCTCAGCACCACATCAGCACCACATAAGCAGAAAGAAAAAAGCCAGAAGTGGCGCTGTGGCTCAAGTGGTAGAGCGCTAGCCTTGAGCTGAAGAGCTGAGGGACAGTGCCCAGGCCCAGAGTTCAGGTCCCACGATCGGACCCCCCCCCCCCCACACACACACAAAAGAATTTTATTGAAAAATTTTGTGTCTATATTCATAAAAGTGATTGGCTTACAAATCTCTTTTTTTGTCCTGTCCTTGTTTGGCTTTGCAGTGAGTGTAATATGGCTTCAAAGAGTGAGCTGGCAGGGTCCTTTTTCTGCCATGGAAAAGTTTGAGGAATATTTTCTTTTTTTTAATTTTATTTTATTTTATTTGAGAACATACTGTACAGAGGGGTTACAATTACATGGGCAAGATAATGCATACATTTCTTACCAAGCATTGCAGCCTCCTCCTTTGTTTACCCTTCACCTCCCTTCCCAGCCTCCCCCCTCCCCCCCACCCAATCCTTCCCCCCTCCCCCCCCCCACACCGACATTGTAAAGCTCGTTTTTGACATGACATTTTGTACTTCTCATTGTTGCAACAGGTCCACCTGAATCCTTAAACGACTTGTTTGTCCCCATCTCCTCTACAAGTTATACTGACATCAAATATAGTGAAAGCGGGGGTGACACTGTAGGGGAGGCACATACAAAGCAACAAAGAGATAATCTTATAAATGCATTAGAAACACATGCATGAAAGAAAAAAACATTAAAATACATATTTAAGGGTTCATTTTCCTAACATCACATTATCTGACCTTTTCCGCTTGACTCATACATATACTAGATATTGCAAATAAGGGAAAACATGGGACCTATGTTTCTTTGGGCCTGGCTTACTTCACTTAATATAATTTTTTCCAAGCCTTTCCATTTCCTAACAAATGGGGCAATGTCATTCTTTCTGATGGAGGCATAGAATTCCATTGTGTATATATACCACATTTTCTTGATCCATTCATCTACTGAGGGGCATCTGGGTTGGTTCCATATCTTAGCTATGGTAAATAATGCTGCAATAAACATAGTTGTGCTGGTAGCTTTAGTGTGGTCTTGTTTGTAAACATTTGGGTAAATGCCCAAAAGTGGGATTGCTGGGTCATAGGGGAGTTCTTTGTGAAGTCTTTTGAGGAACCTCCATACTGCTTTCCAAAGTGGTTGAACAAGTTTACATTCCCACCAACAATGAAGTAAGGTTCCTTTTTGTCCACATCCCCTCCAGCATCTGTTGTTGTTAGAGTTCTTGATTTTTGCCGTTCTAACTGGAGTGAGGTGATATCTCAATGTTGTTTTGATTTGCATTTCTTTTATGGCTAGGGATGTGAGGAATATTTTCTTTAAAGGTTGTTTTTTTCTTAAGGTCTGATAGAATTTGACAGTGAATCTATCAGGTCATGGCCTTTTCTTTGTTAGGAGACTTAAAATAAATTTTACTGCTTCAATATCATTGTTCATTATAAACCTGTTTAAGTAGTGTGTATCTTCATGGTCCAATTTTGATAGGTCAAATGTATTGAAAAATTGGTCCGTTTATTCTAGATATTTTTTATTAGTTTGATTATAGATTTTCAAAGAGTCACCTTGTCATCTGGATTTTATTGGTGTTTATTGTGAGAACTTTTCTTTAATCTCTAATTTTATTAATTGGGTACTGTCCTTCCTCTTTTTGCTTAGATTAGCTAGAGGTTTATCAACTTTATTTCTCAAAGAACCAACTTTTTGTTTCACTGACTCTTCATATAATTTTTTCAGTCTCTATTTCATTACATTCTGCACATTCTTTGTTTCCATCTGCTCATTTTAGGTTTGGCTAGCTCTTTTATTTCTAGACATCTGATGTGCATCGTTAGTGCTCAGGTGTTTTCTTGTTGTTCCTGCTATTTTTAATGTGGGCACCCATAGCTATATAAACTTTCCTCTTTTTACTGTTTTTGCGTATTCTAATAGTTCCAGTAGGTTTTCTTTCATTGGGTTGATTTTTTATTTCTCCTCTTTTTTCTTAAAAGACTGCTGGTCATTTAACAATATATTCTTCAATCTTAATGTGTCCAAGTGTTTTCTGTAGTTTCATTTGCTATTGAGTTTTAGTTTAATTCTATAATGGGATTAAACCTGATAGAATACAAGTGATTACTTCAGTGGTTTGTATTTTCTAAGACTTACATTAAGTCCTAAATTAGGATCTATTTTGGAGAAAGTTCTGTGGGTAGCAGAACAGAATGTATATTGTATATTTGTTATGTTAGATAAAGCCTTCTGTAGCTTGTCAAGTTGATGTGATTTGTACTGTCTCTTTTTATTTTTGTGTGTGTGTGCCTGTTTGGATGACCTTTCTACTGGTGACAGCAGAATACTGAAGTACACATTATTATTGTGCTATGGTCTACCAGTGCTTGTAAGTCCAAAAGTGTATGTTAAATGAACACTGGGTGTGTGCATATGTTAACAATCACTATTTCCTCTTGATTATTCACTTTATTAATATGATATCACCTTCTTTGTTTCCTCTAATTTTCATTTGAAATCTGTTTTATCAGACATGACTGGCTACTCCTGCCTGCTTCTGAGGTCCATTTACTTAGAGGATCTTTCTGTAAGCTTTCGTGCTAAGCCTGTGCTTGTCTGTGTGAGATCTGTTCTTGTAGGCAACACGTAGTTGGATCTTGCTTTTTTAAAGTCTTGCTTGCCACGTGTCTTTTCACTGATTTTCTGTCTTCTTTCCCACTGCTTTGTTTATAGAAACCTCACAGAGGAACAGGTAATTGGGTCACATAGAACATGCCGAGATGGGGTGTGCCATGGTTTCCAGAGGTGTGAAGTGGAGCTGGGTTTTCATGTGGAATAAGTCTTGGAGTCTTTATACTTTAATGAGGGAAATTGTGTTGGCAGAGATTCACAAAGCTGATTACTTTTGTAACATTTTCCTTGTTGTTGTTGTTTTTTCCTCAGATATTTACCATATGCTTCTTTTCCCCACAAAGATGAGTAAAAACAACAGAATGCACAGAAACATCAACATAAGAAACACCTTTTTCTCTGAAGTTGGCTTTGGCATTTCAGCCAATGTCATCCTTCTCCTCTTCCACTTCTTCATATTTGTTCTCCGACTCAAGCCCAAATCCACTGACCTGCCTATTGGTCTCTTGGCCCTTGTACACTTAGCAATGCTGATAACCACAGGGTACACAGCTATGGACATTTTTGGGTACAAGAATGATTGGGATGACATCACGTGTAAATGTCTTATCCTCATATACAGGTTGGTCAGGGGCCTGTCTGTCTGCCTCACCTGCCTGCTGAGTATCCTCCAGGCCATCACCCTCAGCCCCAGAAGCTCCTGTTTGGCAAAGTTCAAACATAGATCCCTACACCACAGCCTGTGTCTCCTCCTCCTCCTGTGGGTCTTCTATATATCCATTAGCAGTCACCTCTTAATCTCTATTATTGCTACTCCCAATTTGACCTCAGAAAATCTTATGTATGTCTCTGAGTCTTGCTCTCTTTCACCCTTGCCTCACCCCTACCAGCACGTATTTTCCAGACTGCTGACCTTCAGGGAAGTCTTGTGTATGGGGCTCATGGCTTTCGCAAGTGGGTACATGGTGCTTTTCTTATTCAGGCACAAGAGGCAGTCCCGGCATCTTCATAGGACCAGCCTCACCTCAAAGACTTCCCCAGAGCAAAGGGCCACCCGGACCATTCTGCTGCTCCTGAGTTTCTTTATGGCCATGTCCATTTTGGATAGCCTCATCTCCTACTCAAGACTTACATTACATGATGATCCAATATTTTATTGTATCCAGCTTCTCGAGGCCCATAGCTATGCGACAGTCAGCCCCCTGGTGTTCATCAGTACCGAAAAGCGTATAATTATCGTTTTGAGATCCATATGTAAGAAGGGAGTAAGCAGTTGATTCTTCAGTGATAAGTAAGTCTCCCTAGGATGAACAATGTCAGGGCATCAGAACTAACTCCTACGGCACAGGGATGCGCTTCAGTGTATGTGAAATTGTAGGGCTATGCTTTTTCTGTTAAATTTATTTAGCTTGATACAAGTGGAAATACATAATATATGTATGGAAAATACATAAAAGAAAGTTAAGCCACACACTGACTGGCTCTCCGTGGGTGCTCAGAGAAGACCTATGGGCTGTGTTCCACATGACATGGCGTGGGTTGGTTTGTACTGCTTTTAACATGTGATCGCTTAGGACACTTTCCAATAATTAAGTTTCTCTAGTCAAACTAGGTATACAAACACTAGGTATCATCAATTATGACAAGACCCAGGAAATACACATACGCCGAGAGAACTGCATTGATTTGTACCATGCTGTTAACAAGACGATTACCAGTACTCAAAGACAGAAACAACCAGTGTCGGGAACCATCAGAATATGAACAAAATGTAGCTTCTCCTTCTAGTGGAAGATTATTCAGTCTTAAAAACAGAAAGGCATCCTGGAAGCTGACATTACTGAGCTCAGTGACACAAGTCCATCATGGAGAAACAAGTAGCATTTGAAGCTACTCTTTCAAAGAAGAACCTCAAAGTAGTCAAAAGGCAAAAACCTCAAAGGCAAAAAGGGAATCACATGTTCTAGAAGCTAAGAAGAGGGTTTGTGGCGGATGCCCGTGTGGCAGCAATGGAGATGGCTTGCTCACGCCTGCCTGGCGTCATGAGGACACATAATGGCATGCGCTTGCACACTCAGAGTGACCAAATGCACGTGTGTGTGCTGTATGTGCTTTGTCATAATAACAATTCCTTCAATTACCTTAAGCCAGGGGAGAACATTCTCTCTGAAATTAAAACCGGAAGTGACAAGCTTCTAAGAGTGCCAAGATATAACTGTTCAATGGTTTTAAAAACATTTATAGCAAATTTGTTCCAGTGATTTAAAAATGATTGCTAGAAGTCTGAATCTTATTTTTCAGTTTCTTCAAAGAAAGAAGAGAAATTCTTCCTTTAGATTCAGTTAGGCAGGATCAAAAGCTTTTTGTATGTAAGGTCAAAACTCCAAATTTACAAAGTAAATCAGATATTAAAAAGAATCTACCCTTGATATCAATTAATGCCATGAAAACTATGTACTTGTAATATGCTTTTAAAATAACAAAAGGCGCAGGTGGCTCATGCCTGTAATCCTGACTACTCAGATCTGAGGATCACGGTTCAAAGCCAGCCTGGGCAGGAATGTCCTTGAGACCCTTATCTCCAGAAGTGGCCCTGTGGCTCAAGTGGTAGAGCACTAGCCTTGAGCTGAAGAGCTGAGGGACAGCGCCCAGGCCCAGAGTTCAGGCCCCACGACCGACAAATAAATAAATGAATAAATAAATAAAATATAAAATATTATCAGAGATATAGTTGTAAATGATAGTATATGTTACTCAGTGTTTCAGAGGAGCAATTCAGGAAATGTTTAAAACAATATTTCTTACATCTATCACAGTAAAGTCACTAGTCAGGCTTCAGTATCATTGTTTTCCTTTTAGGATTTATTTAGAGAAAAAATTGAGTGATGGAGTGATAGAGAACTGCAGGCATGGTTCAGGTGGTAGAACACCAGTGGCGGGCGAGAAAGCCAGGCAGCCATGCAAGGCGCTGATTTCCAACCCCAGTGTTGGCACAAATAAAATGGGGGTTAGGACAGGCAATTTGGGGAAGATATACAAGCATATATATATATATATATCAAGCATATATATATATATCAAGTGTATATATATATATATATATATATATATATATGTATATATGTCAAGGGCCGCAGGGAAAGGGACGAAGGGAAGGAGAGAGGAAAAAAGAGACAATTGAAAGAGACATTAAAAAAAATAAGAGGGGCTGGGAAGGTGGCTCAGTGGTAGAGTGCTTGCCTTGCATGCCAGAGGCCCTGGGTTCGATTCCTCAGCACCACATAAGGAAGAAGAAAAAAGCTGGAAGTGGCGCTGTGGCTCAAGTGGTAGAGTGCTAGCCTTGAGCTGAAGAGCTGAGGGACAGCGCCCGGGCCAGAGTTCAGGCCCCACAACCGGACCAAAAAAAAAAAAAGATATTCAAATAGCAAATAAAGCAAGGAGCCTTAGGAGTAGCATGGTACTTTCAAAAACAAGAGCCAGCAATCATGGGGAAATTTTGCAGCCCCTCCAGGAGAAAGAACAGACTTGTAACTCATCCAAACCTCATTCTGAGAACTATCAAATCCTCCAGATCACAGCCTCCCCAGCGGCTAGGATCACAGGTGTGAGCCACCCACACCGGTGCAATGAAAACTCTTAGGATCACCTACTGAGCCTGATCTGGCGGGGCCATGCCCCTTCCTCCAGAGGAAACCGTTCACCCCCAGACCTGGCCTCAGGACTCGCCCAACTGACGGACAGACATGGGTACCAATAGGAGATACGCAGGTTGGCAAGACTCAACCTCAGAGCTGGCAACAAGGGGACTAGACACTGATGCCAATGGAGACAAGTGGTCTACACTGCCAAGAAATCGGGTGCCGGTGGCTCATGCCTGTCATCCCAGCTACTCAGGAGGCTGAGATCTGAGGATCGCGGTTCAAAGCCAGCCCAGGCACAGAAGTCCGTGAGACTCTTATCTCCAATAAACCACTAGAAAACCAGACGTGGCGCTGTGGCTCAAGTGGTAGAGCGCTTGCCTTGAGCTGAAGAGCTGAGGGACAGCGCCCAGGCCAGAGTTCAAGCCCCGTGACCACCACCACCACCAAAAACAAAAACTGCCAAGAGCTTGGGGCTCCCCTTAAAAAGCCATCCTCCTCCTCAGGACAGGCTCTGCGGTCTGGGACTCTAAACCCCTGCAAACCTTCATTTGCCAGCCAGTTCATAAACGCTTCATTGCTTTTCCTCCCAAAGCCTGTCGTCATTATTCTGATCAGCATAGAAGTTTGGGCAACAACGACGCCCACGGTGGCAAGTTCGGGGAGCCCCTCGTGGGGCCTCCTCGCCTCCCGGAGCCCCTCGCTGTGGCTGAGGGTTTGAGAGGAGCTGGTGCCCCGGCTCTGCTCAGTCTCAAGCTCACAGGCCAGAACCAGCACTCTCCAGCCAGAACAGCGCTCTCAGGTGCCAGTCCTCCAAGGCCATGTCCTGCACCTCAGTAGGGAAGCGGCGAAGCAGAGTGCTGCCGATCACCTCCCACCACCAGGAGGCGGCCATTCGCCTGAGTCTGCTGAGCTCCTGACCCTCCCTGGCGGCCGCCAGCGCGTCCTGTCAACACACTGGGTTTATCCCCCACTGGCTTGGGACTTGCGACTGTACCCTGCCTCTTCCTTAAGAAAATCCCATCTGGAGAAGAGAAGGGAGCACTGCCCGCCTTGGCCTGGGTGCCCAAAGCACCCAGGGACAGGAAGGAGCGGGAGCAGTGCCGGCCTCTCCCGGCACCACGCTCCCCTGGACAGTGGCACTGAGACGCTGGAGAGGAAGTGGATATTGGGAGCTGCTCCCAGGCTACTTGTACAACTCCCAGGGGCTTTCTAACGTCCCAGCGGCCGGGCCGGTGGCCAGTGGCCGGGACTCAGGGGCCCCCTGGTATCTCCAAGCGGCTACACGCTTCCAAATGGAAACAGCCCTGAGAGAAGTGGGGAGGGGATGGACCCCGGAAGGAGGAGGCAGGGAGAGGAGGGAGGGGCAGCTCCTGAGGCCGGCAGGGGAAATAGCCCTGGGGAGGGACGTGGAAGCCCAGGCTTCCTTGCCCTAGCCTCTGTCAGCTGCCTGGACCAGAGATGGCGCAGAGGGCGGGCCCTGGCGGGCTGCTGCCCAGCGCACTGCCCAGCGAGGAAAATAAAAGGGAGCGCTTTCCACGTCTGGGTGATAACGTGGAAACACGGAACATTTCCTGCAGTCCACAAACCAGTCCTGGAGAATTCTAGGCTGGGCGGCTTCCTGGGTGCCGACAGGGGCGTTGTCTGCATTTGCATTGTGTCGTGCAGGACCTCCTCCCTGCCCCCCCCCCCCATGCCCCCAGTTGCCTTTAGGAACCTCTGGCCTCTGACCTGCAGTGTGCACCGAGGGCTTCCGGGCACCGGCCAGGCTCAGGTGTGAGCGCTGATCTGGGCTCAACCAAGCAGCCCAGTGCTCTCCTGTTTCCAGGCTCTACTCTTTGCAGGTCAGCTACCAAGACAAGAGAGCCAAGGGAGGAGGGAAGAGAGCAGCTAGAGCCCAGCGGGGGGGACCCCCCCCCCGACTTCTCACTGGAGGGAACACAGTCCTGGCCATTCCTACCTGCAAAGGATGTTGGGAAATACAGTTTTCACATCAACGAGAGAAAGACACTGTCTGCATTGGAACTTCATCCTCCTCACCATACCTTTGTCCACCACCACGACGACAACAGCTATTCATTTTAGACAGTGTTTTGAAGTGCCAACCACGGCCTGGGCACAGAGCGGCTTGTGTTCTGTATTCCCTGATGCCACAGAGGCCTGCCCCCGCTGACGACGGGAGCACTCGCTGAGCACTTAATCCCAACAGAAGCCCTGTGAGGTCGGGTCTGTGCCCCTCACAGATGAGCAGACTGAGGCTCCGCGAGGCTGCAGCTGCTCTGAGGCTCATCAGGACTAACAGCAGATCCACAGGAGCCTGGGCCGTGCCATGCTCCACACTGGACTGCGTCTTCCATTCTCTTGGAAGCTGGAGGAAGCCTGGGCGTGGCGTCCATCCCGTGGGGCTGTCTGCAGCGGGACCCAGACCCCAGCGTGGACTGTCGCCGCGGCGGGCACGCAGCTCTTCTTTTCTCTGTATTTGAAAGCAGGGGCGCTGAGGGCCAGGGTGGACTCCCTGCGCGTCGTCACCCAGGGCCGTGCACTTCCCCTCTGCAGCCCTGGACACCTCTGGAGAAAAGCCACCTCCATGAAATTAGGGTTCAGGGGTCAACCTTCCAGAAAGCTCCCAGGGGATGTGT